TATACGAAGACGTGGACCTGCACCGACAACTTTCTGTCATAGGCTGTAGTGTCCATTACGAACTTCAAATACCAAATTTGAAATATTTCTGGTGAATAATGTCGCTTAAATCAAATACGAAATTTGAAAAATTTCCTATGAATAATTCCGCCAGAATCATGAAAATACCGAATATCGGGAGGTATCATTATACGAGAGCAATACGAAGACGTGGACCTGCACAGACAATTTTCAGTCTTAGGCTGTAGTATCCACTACGAACTTCAAATACGAAATTTGAAGCAATTCCGGTGAATAATCTTGCTAAAATTATGAAAGTACTGAATATCGGGAGGTACCCTTATATGTGGGCTAAAGGAAGGTGTGGACCTGTATGAACAATTTTCTGTTATAGGCTGTAGTATCCATTCCGAACTTCAAATACCAAATTTGAAACAATTCCGGTGAATAATGTCGCTTATATCACCAAAATACCGAAAATAGGGAGGTTTCGTTATATGGGGGCTCTATGAAGGCGTGGACCGGCCCGAGAAATTTTGTGTCATAGGCTGTAGTATCCATTACGAACTTAAAATTTCCGGTGTTTAACGTCGCTTAAATCACCAAAATACCGAAAATAGGGATGTACCATTATGTGGGGCTATACGAAGACGTGGATCTACATAATCCATTTTCAACACCAAAAGTCCTGCAGACATAATATACATGCCTTCGGAAGCTAGAGTGATTTCCATAGACGGACGGACATCGCTAAATCGACATCGAATTTTATGCTGATAAAGAATATACATACTTTGTGGGGTCTAAAATGTATATTTCGAATTGTTACAAACGGAATGACAAACTTAATATACCCTCCATACTATGGTGGATGTTATAAAAGGAAATTCGTTTTCTAGACCTTTCAGAAAAGACCTGCCTATAAACAACTGCAGACACATTTTTTTCATATTTTTTTCAGTCAGATAAAAGTTTCTCAAAGTCATCTAAAAAGCAACAGACATTGCAGGGGTTCTCTGGACAAAAAAGCTTTTAAGGAGGTCGATAGACATAATGATATTCAACAGATAAATGCAATTCTAAAAGCCTTTGTGGACAGAAGTGGTTCCAAAGTTCTTCTACTTAGAGAAAATATCTCCTAACAGTCTCCTCTAAACAGATGACCTTCTATAGGACTTCAAAAGTCAGACGTCCTCCTAAATGTCTTCTAAAGATCTTTTTTGATGACGTGTTTTCGAATATACTTACTAAGATAAGGAACTTCAAAAGTTATTCTCTCTTTCCCTATAAACAACTGTAGATATACTTTTTTTGTCACTTTTTCCCTCATTTCTTTTCAAACCCATGGTGCCCCACTGCCGCAGCCAGGCAGCTCAATCAGTTCATGAGACGTGTGTCTGACGAAATTCATCATGCAATTTGATGATAATTTCCTTGGCTTCACTGCTCTTTTTCTCGAACCTCAAATAGAGGGGTTAGAATAACTTCAAGTTGCTGCTAAGTGAGTTAAAGGCTACAACTTCTGGTTTGGTGGCCAAGGAACAACAATGCCAGCGGGTTAAGTGGCGGCACAGGTTGTTATGATAGGCACACCGTTTCAAGAATGATGAAATGAAAATGCTGGTATTGTTTTGTTGTTGTCGCTAATTGAAACATAAAAATGTGATAAATGTTAGTTTCAGCAACAACAAAAACAACAACAACAATACGAAACAGGGGTGATTATTGCATGAAATTACTTGGCAAAGGTAGTAATTTGGGAGGATAATAATTTTTGATATGAACAGAAAAAAACCCGGCATTGCTGTTTGGGATACAGCACACGGGCAAACAGGGATGGCAGTTTCTCTGTGGCCCGCCCGTGTCATTGCCAACAATTTGTGTTCCATTTAATGGCCCGCTAATAGAGTTGTCAGCGAGAAAAGCTGCCATGACAAGAAATTAACTCGCAAATATTTTGTCAGGATCTTTGAGCTAACTGAGAAACGCCAAATAATTTAATTAATTACCCAGGTGAAATTATTAATTTAAAATAAGAAAATGGAAAATCTGCTTGGTGTGCCTTCCATGTCATAGGATAAGAAATCTAATTAATCAAAATTCCGCAGATTTCCAGGTGAAAGTAAATTTTTTGACAACCGAATTCCCGAGTCGACTTTCTTTGCAACCCTTTTCTGTGTTATGACAAAGGACAAAGAATTCATTTCATTTTATTGACATATTTCTTCGCAGCGGGATACATTTATTGTTATGGCTGAAGGCGAATTTATCCTTTGGCGTACAAGGATATGAGTGTTTGGATACATTTCCGTGTATCTCAAAATATTTGTTAATTATTACAAAATATGTGGAATCGATGTTGTTGACATAATAACATGTCAGAATTTAATACACTCACACATATTTCTATATTAGACGCCTTAAAAAATATTATTTTTATTGGAGACTTCTCGCAGTTTAGACGACCTTTGTAAGGTATACCTAAAAGGCAAATAGCTTGTATCAAAATTCATAAATCCAGACCTATGCCCTTTTATATCCTCAGTCATATGGCTAGAGAGGGCGAACTAACGATTTTAGACCTTAGGTCTCTTTGGGCCAAATCCGTTTCAGGACATTTGAAGTCGAACTGACGATGTCGGTCCGTCCGTCTGTGTGTGTCTCTGGTTGGCTGGTGTGCACGATAACTCTCTAAGGGAGTATTCGATTTGATCCAAACTTCGTACATCGTAATATTATTATCAAACTTAGATCGAGTCTAGGATGGGCAATATCGGCCCACTCCTTGTGGTCCACTCCCCACAAAAAGATGAAATTTTCAAAACAAAATGTTTTACTGCACAGAAAGAGAAAGGAAACCCGATTTGCTCCAACTTTGTAAATCCTAATATTTACATCAGTGGTAGGTCAGGTGCGAAAATTGACGAAAATTACACACATCACAATATTTTTATTAACTCAGGGTCTGGTGTGAAGATGAAAGGTTCAACATTTTGAACATCCGCGAAATTACCATCCGATTCCTTTCAGATTTGATATTTCCATCAACACAAGATCTGTTATAAAGATTGTAGAGATCGGACAATTTTTTCTGGTACCTCCCCCACATAGGGCCATCGTTTTGAATATCCATGAAGCTCATAAAACGCAAAATTAACATCCGAATCCATTCAGACTTGGCACATCTTATTATTTCCAATAACACAAAATCTGTTATTAACATGGTAAAGATCGGGCCGTTCCTTCTGGTACCTCTCCCATAAAGGGTAAAGTTTTGAATAACAAAAATGGTAATAAAGTCCGATGCCATTTAGACTTGGCACATCTGAATACTTCCAATAACACAAGATCTGTTATTAACAAGATCTGCTGTGAAGATGGCATATATAGGTCCACTCCTCCCCCACAAAGGGTCAACATTTTGAATATCCATGAAGCTCATACAACGCGAAATTAACATCCGATTGCATTTAGACTTGGTACATCTCTATATTTCCATCTCAGAAAAATCTTTTATAAAGATGGTAGAGATAGGGCTATTTCTTCTGGTACCTCTCCCACAAAGGGTAAAATTTTAAATAACCAAGACGATTATAAAATCCGAAATAATCATATTTTTCTCTTCAAATACTTTTATCAACCTAAATTCTGGTGTGAATATGGGATATATCGGTCCACTCCTTCTGGTAACTGCCCCACAAAGGGTCAACATTTCGAGCACCCGTTAAGTTCAAAAAACGCGAATTTAACATCCGATTCCTTTCAGATTTGATACATTTCAATATTTCCATCATCGCAAGATCTGGTAGAGATCGGACAATTTCTTCTGGTACCTCCCCCACATAGGGTTCAAGATTTGAAAAAAAACAAAACGCTCAAAGAAAGCGAAGTAAGCATCCAACTCTCTTCAAATGTTATACATACACACATATTTAGTACCTTTTAGGACTTCAGGTATCTTTTACAACGAATTTCCAAAATGTAGCATTCAAATGATTCATAGGTACTTATTTGGTACCCTTAGTATTTTTCGGACCTTTTTGATACGAAATCTGAAACTTTAATTAAAATTATTAATATTTAGTACCTTTTTTATTTATTTTCAAAATGTGCACCCTCTTGTTTATCATGAACAAAACATACAAAATTGCGGAGCTTTAGCATCTCCCAGTCGCTCAATAATAACGGCAATATAAGTAGTACCTTTTTGTCCCTATCGTACGCTTATAGTAAAATCCGCCCAATGTTGACCCGCACAGAAAATTTCAAGATTCTATCTAAAGCCGCTTCGTCTGGGTGTTGAAGACTCCTTCTGTTCATTGAAGACATTCTGGGATCATCTGTTCATAAAAGACCATCCGGAGGTTTTCTGTCAATGAGAGGGCCCTTGGATGCCTTCTGAAGTTCATGAAAGAATTTCTGCAGTTCTAGGATATATGAAGACTTTCATGAGATTTTCTGCTTAAAGAAAACCTCTTGGAAGTCTTCCTTTCCGAGGCAACCTTCTAGAGATCTTTCGCTTATTGAAGACCTAGTGGTCTTCTTTTCGAAAAAGTCTTATTATAGATATTTTCTCATAGACGACTTTCCGGAGTTCTTCAGTTATTAAAAGACGTTTTATGTTTATGGAAGACCTTTTAGTGGCCGTGCATTGCAGAAGACCATCTGAATATATTTTTTTTTCCAAAACACCATTTGTAGCTCTTTTGTTAGGTCTATTGTTTTTCTGGACGGCTCATAGATAAATGTTCTCTAACATAGAAGACCTGGAGGTTTTCAACACAGAGAAGACTTTCTGGACGTCTTTTATACGTAGAAGACCCTTGAGAAGTCTTCTGTTCTTCTGGGTCGTCTTCTTTTATGTTTAAAAGGCTTTGCATTTAAATTACCTCATCAAGAGGAAGTCCTTGGAAGTTATGTTTCCCGAAATTTACTTACATTCAGTCTATCAATTATTTATAAACCATTAGTAACCCCAATCTCCCTTCTCTCTCTTACAGATAACAACAACCTGATGGGTGCCGCCGATTGGACCGGTTGCTCAACCACCGCCTCAGCTGCCTATTCGTATCATCACAGTCATCCGCTGCCCCCACCGCCTGCACCGCCCTCGGCAACAGCAGCGGCGGCTGCCACAAATGGTGTCTATCCCGGCTATGAAACCCTCACCTCCGATCCTGCCAACCTACAACTGCCCACAGTTATAACGGATATGCAAACATTTTGTGCACCCAGTGATTATCATCCCACAGCCATTGTACCGCACATACAACCCACCATGTGTAGTCCCACGTATGCGGGGGGTCCAAAGAATGAATATGATTCATATAATGCTGCCGCCGCTGCTGGCTATTCGTCCTATAGCAATTGGTCGAATGGCTATAATACCGGCTATCAATATGGTAGCTGTGCCACCCAGCCGCAATATCCCACACATGGACACACCCCCACCATGGTACTGTATCCCCAACTGTTCTCCACCTATAATCAAAATGAAATACATCTACATCTACATGGCACGGATAAAATTGAACATTATCTGGGTGGAGAGAATGCCCTGACCATTAGTTCGTTGTCGGGAAATCGTCCGAGCATAGAGATTGGCATCGGCACCTCAGATCATGAAGATCAAATGCAAAATCGTGGGGTGGATCCTCATCAGGCCTCTCATGTTGTAGTGACGGATGGTAGCGGCGGTGCATTGGATCAAACGGACCAAAGACAAACGGCGGCTGGCGGCCTGAATGAGGCAGGAACTGATGTTACTGCTGTGGTCAATGGACCCGTCGTTGAACAACATTCCCACGCAACGCGTGAGGGTGAGGAGGTGTGGCGGCCGTATGAGGCTTCATGGTCTCAGTGACAAAATTGTAAGACTTATGTACATATAGAGTTAAATTAAGAATTGTTTAGTTTTTTTATTATTAATTTTTAATATAAAACTATGGAAATAAATTAAAAATAAGTGTATATAATTTATTTAGAATTAAAAAATAATAATTTATGGGTAACATTTCCAAGTAGAGAATAAATCGCCAAAGCCCTTGGCTTTAATCCAAAAAATCCTCAAAAAAATCAGTGATATAAAAATGAATTTTTTTGGTGATATTGAAATTTATTAGATTAAGAGCGCCACCTAACACCTCTAATTTAGCAACGCTGCTCAAAAACGAAAACTCGCTCATCAGCCAAATTCTTTTAGTTTGAGAACAATTCTCTAAGTTTTGCCAAATTCTCTCAGTGTTATAATATAATTTATATATTTTTTTGTAATAATTCGCTGGGCCAGTGAAATTAGATCCAGAACGAGAATTTTATACGAAGTATACACTCCACTATTAGATTTTATGTTTATGTTCTCAGTTGTGGGAAAAATTAGAATGAGAGTCGAAATGCTCGAAAGAGAGCAAGAATTTACTCTGTGAGTGAAATCGAGTAGAAAAAATATTTTATTTGAGAACTTGTGCATTCGTGTGTATTTCGTAGCAAAAAGATGTTAATGCCACTGTGGATAGGGGAGGGGTATCGTGTACAAAAGCCAAGAAGAGAAAATCAGTAGAAGCAAGGGGTAGTTGAATATGTTCAGTTGCTACAAATACGACAATACTCTTCAACGTGTTTGGTTTTTTTTATACCCTACACCACATAGTGGTAAGGGTATTATGCATTTATTTGTAACACGGAAAAGGAAGCGAGATAGACCCATAGTTACTTTTAAGGATCTACATAGAATCACTTTCTGAGTCGGCTTATGCCAGTCAGTGCGTCTGCCCGTCCGTTTCATGTATTATTGTGAACAAAATGCAGGTCGCATTTATTATCCGATTGAAATTAAATTTCCAAACATAGCTCCCATATATATCCTTAATCCGATTTCAGGTTTGATGTGCAAATAATAGCGTTTCCATTTTGTGGAACTCAGCCCCGATATATATTTTTTAATATAATCCTTCTCGAAGCGATTTCCTACACTCTATAGCAATATTAACTGGTATCAATTATTAAAATGTCTCCGTCAAATTTAGTGAAAATCGATTCAGAATTGTATATGCCTCCCATACACATATTTTTATGTTCAAACCCCGTTCGACTTGCAACTCCGGGTTGAGAAAATTCACATACCTACAACAAGGATATAGCTATGAAGGATATGACAAAAAAACTAAAAAAGTACTCGAAAAGTAGAATCTGCTTGATTTCGAGCGAATTTTACCCCCACTCAAATTTTACTCCCAAGAGTGCTCCCGCTCGAATTCAAATGAGCCTCACACTCTACTCGAAATTGTACGAGCATTTCAGAGATATGATTTGCGTCTATTGTTCTGTTGTTTTTAGAAGCGTAGGACAGAGCGTCGCACTTTTATGTCCTCCCAATTTTGTTAATCCCTGAATATATAGTTTTTCAATTGTTCTGATTGTGTGTGTTTGGAGAGAGAATCTCGCTTGCTGAGAGTACTCATGTCTGCATTTGATGATATCTATACTTCAATTTCAATAATTCTTCAAAAGAATATTCTGAGGCTTTCAATAATTCAATAATTTAATTGATAAAATATAAATACAAACCATGGGAGGTTAACGGCGATTTAGCATCGTCCTAATGATCGTTGACCGTCCAGAGAAAAAGTTATTCAGGGCGGTTGACACTTCTACGATGACATGTTGCCAGAAACGGCTGCGACTTCTTCCTGTAGCCAAGGAACTTTTTTCAACCGGACTTGGCTAAGCAGCCATCAGGAGGTGACTGCCATGAATCTTATTTCGGGTGACGAAATTTCACCCTCACGTCTTTTCACATATCATTCTAGTTTTCCATTTTGTCGCTGGTGATATTTTGATGTTTCCAGACTGCGACACTGTTCTTCAAATTACAATTTTCTATTGTGGATTTGTTCAGAAATTTTATACTCTCAGTCATATGGCTACAGAAGGTATGTATCATTTGATACTGTCAAAACGTGCCTCATCGAAATATCGGTTTTAGACCTTAGGTTTCCGTTTGGAGTCCGCCTGTCTGTCTGGTGTGCACGATAACTCTCAAAGGGAGTATCCGCTTTGATGCAAACTTGGTACATCGTCAAGATCAAGTTCGGAGATGGACAACATCGGTCCACTCCTTCTGATACCTCCCCACAAAATGTCAAAATTTTCAAAGAAAATAATTTACTACACAGAAAGAGTAAAGATAAAATACAAAATTAATTTCCGATACCATTCGGATTTGGCGCATCAAAATATATCCATAAGCACAAGATTTGTAATAAAGATTGTAGAGATCGGACAATTCCTTCTAATACCTCCTCACAAGGGTCAAATTTTTGAATAATTACAACGATCATAAAATCCGAAATAAGCATTCAGTTCTCTTCAAATTACACACAATAAAATATTTTTATTAACCCAAGGTCTACTGTGAAGATGGAATATATCGGTTCACTTCTTCTGGTATACCCCCCCCCCCCCCCCCCCAAAAAAAAAAAGAAAAAGGGACAACATTTTTGAATATTCATAAGACTCATAAAGTCTGATATTAACATCCGTTTCCATTCAGACATCTCTCTATTTCCATCAACACAAGATCTGTTATAAAGATGGTAAAGATCGAACCATTTCTCCACCACAAAGGTCCAAACTTTAAATAACTATATCTATCATAAAATGCGAAATAAGCATCCGATTGTCTTTAAGTTTCACATATCTAATATTTTTATTAACACAGAATCTGATGTGAAGATGGTCCACTACCGGTCCACTTCTTGTGAAACCTCCCCCACAAAGAATAAAATATTTGAAATAGCCATTAAGCTCACGGTACCACCACATTCGGTATTTTGATGATTTTAGCCACATTTTTTAATGGAATTGTCTGAAATTCTACGCCAGGAGTTGTTCGTGACTACTATTCTCCCTGAAAGGGAATTGACGTCAAAAACATTGTCAGAATATTGTCTATTTATGTCCTCGAATACGTATAAACCCCATACAACAACCCCCTATATTCGCTATATGGATAATTTAAGCGACATTTTTTACAGGATTTGTTTCAATTTTCGTATTTAAAGTTCGTAATTGGTAGTACGGCCAATGACAAAAAATTGCGTATGCAGGTTCACTTCTTCGCATATCCCGCATATAACGATACCTTTCGATAATGCGGTATTTTATTGATTCTAGGGACAATATTCACCGGAATTGTTTCAAATTTCGCATGTAAAAAACGTAATGGGTTCTACAGCCTATGGCGGAAAATTATCTATTTTAGTCCACGTCTTTGTATAGGCCACATATAAGGTCAACGAAATCGTATATTCCACTACAACCTCCCAATATTCGGTATTTTTATGAAATATGTGAGTCATACTTACCTTTATAGGTCCACGAAATCCTACGCTTTTTGCTATTTGGATGATTCTTGCGACATTTTTTACCGGAATTGTTTCAAATTTCGTAAGAAGTACTAAACCCTAATGACAAAATATTGCATACGGCTTTCCTTTGAGCGGTCTTTTTCGACGCATTTTTTGCAAAATTTTCAAGTTCCTTGAAAATGGTGGGGGGTATTAAAAGTTTTGACAGGCCGAACTTAGCTGCTTTTTTACTTGTTTAATTTACTACTCTATTCAGGCCAACATGGCCCAAATCGTGGACAGGGCCATTCGTTCATAGATTTTCTTATAATTATAAAAAGTTAAATTTTTTAAAGAATATATTTTTAAAAACTCCAAAATTATCAAAAATGTATGAACATTTGAAAATAAGTTCATTTTTTAATTGACCCAAAGAGCATTAATAGTTAGAAATTCCGCATATTATATTAAAAATATATTTTAAAATAATCATGAAAGTTTCCATTTTAGATTGTGTTCAGAGAGCATCAATAGTAATTTTGTAAGGAATACTCAAGGAAATTTCAATATTTTGTCAATCATGGATTTTTTTTAATATTACTTAAATGTCGATCGAAGTGGAGAGGAGAAAAAAATATATTTCAATAAACTAAGAGTTGTTCTATGAACGTTTTTATAAAAAATAAAACAATAATGGGATTAAGCCTGACTATTTTGCAACAACAGATTTTTTAAATAATTTTTCTTTTGTCTACTGTGTGGATTTTTTAAAAAGTTTTCATAAGTTCTTCTTGGAAATGGTACCTAGGAAGAAAATATTATCCAGAGGTACTTAACAGAAATGTTCACAGTTATTTCGATTTAAATTACAAAAAAAAATAAATAAAAATAAAAAATATAGATATAAAGAAAATTATGTACTTATACAGAGACTAACGGCACATTATTAGTTAGATATAACAAAATTTAAAAAAAAAATACAACAACAAATATGTTTAAATCGAGAGGAAGATTATAATTGCAAAAATTATTATCCCCTCAATTATCATCAAAACAAAATCATCTCATTATTGTTTATGAGAATCTCTAAAAATATGAAATGAAATATGTACTTATGTGTATATATGTATGTATATTTTTTAGGATTAGACTATAATGTATTTGTTTTATTCAAAAAAAAAAAAAAAGAAAAAAAAAACAACAACAAAAATTGTAACAAATATACAAAACCATTATTGACTGCGGTTAAAATGTACTTAACAAAAATCCCCCCAAACACGAAATCAACCAATTAATTAGACCTACTTTCATCATTGGCTAATCGTCGCATTGTTGTAAATTTGTATTTTCTGATTGGATGTTGATTTCGTTTTGGTTTTAATTCGTATTTTTTTGTTTCTACTTTGTGGCTAATTTCAAATAGACTGTTTTCTCCAACAACTGCTATTAACCATTACTCAGAGTCAGCTCGTTATGACTTTTTTTCATTTAATTTCTTTTTTTATATGTAATTATAAATATTTGTATGTATTTGTCTGTGTGTGTGTTTGTATGCGTATCAGAAATTGTATTTCAATCTTGATTGTTATGTTAGCTTATGATTAAAATTATAATTTTTTATATGTGTGTGCGTGTATGTGTAAATAAGTAATAAGAAGCAAAAAAAAATAACATTATAAATAAAAATGAGATTTTTTTCAAATCCTTGGGTGTTTTTTTTTTATTTAAAAAAAAATATATATAAGAAGTCCACGACCGGGCACATGCTTGTGGTCTTCTAGAAATCCGATAAGAAATCTATATTGGGAATGCAAGTGTTGTTCTTTACTGTATATATCAGTAAGAAAATAATACGTGATTCATGGACCTAATGGCTTGGCCTCGCACGCTGGCTCAGAATTGAATGTTTAATAGATGTTAACCATAAAGTAGAAGAATGTTGCCAAGTTATAGGCTGTAAACTTTCAATCTTGAATATGGAAATTATCTATCGAAGTTATCAATATCGCGTAGTTTTGTTATCTCAATAAGGCAACGAACTAGGACGACGAACTAAAAATACTTACCATTTGGAAAAAACCTCCGATACACCAAAATCTTTAAGAATTCATACAAAGACACCGGAAAGCTGAAATAGAATTTGATCGTTAATATATTCATTATTTATTTGGTAATGGTCTTTTAAAAAAATCAGTTAATCCCTTTTAATGCTTATTTTTGTATTAACAAGTTAGAAAATATGAGTCGGGTCTGCCGACAGATGCATAACCTCAGCCTATGTTCGATTATAAAAATATATTTTAACTTGTGTTATGATATAAATATTGCGACGTGTCAGGCATGGGCTGTATCGACTTCTTCCCACAGTTTATATGAGATATGTGATAATTTTTAGAAAATGTTAAAATGTGCGTTAGGTACCAGATATAGTAAAAGTATTCCATTTTTACACTTCATCTAATACAGATAACATATTGATATGAAAATTTTACAAAAATATAGAACATTTATATCCAATTTTATGCGAAATCATAAATTCCGATAAATTTCATATTCATATCAGGTTTCTGGCTGAGGGAAATATTTAGGCATAGCAAGTTGTAATGAATTGCTGACATGTTTCGCAAATTATAAAAGTATTGAAAATTTTGATCCTTTGTGGGACATATATCATCTTCACAACAGATTTTGTGTTAGCAAAAATGTTAGGATGTGTGGAATTTGAAGAGAGTTGGACTCTTATTTCGCTTTCTTTCTTAGCGTTTTGTTTTTCAAAATATTGAACCCTATGTGGGGGTGGTCCGATCTCTACCATATTTATAAAAGATCTTGTGTTCATGGAAATATTCAGATGTACCAATTCTGAATGTAATTGGGTGTTAATTTCGCGTTTTATGAGGGAGGAAGGATGGGGGAGGTACCAGAGGATGTGGACCGATATATTCCATCTAAGCATCAGATCTTGGATTTATAAAAATATTGGGATGTGTAAAATATAAAGAGAACCTGATGCTTATTTCGGATTTTTTTATTTGGTTATTCAAAACTTTCATCCTTTGTGGGAGAGGTACCACAAGGAATTGTCCGATCTCTACCGTCTTTATAACAGATCCTATGTTGATAGAAATATTCAGATATGCCAAGTCTAATTGGGGAAGTACCAGAAGGAGTGTACGATATATTCCATCTTAGCAACAGATCTTGGATTAAAGTTTTGGGATGTGTGAAATTTGAAGACAATCGCACTCTTACATCACATTTTTATAAGAGTTGTAATTATTGAAAATTTCGACCCTTTGTGAGTGAGGTACTTTTCGCACCTGACCTAGCACTGACGCAAACAGGCAGACAGAAATACGGACGAACATTGCTAGATCGACTCTAAATGTTCTGAAACGGATTTGGTCCAAAGAGACCTAGGGTTATTTTGTTAACAGTTATTTTGACTAGGCACGTTTTGACCGTTTCAAATGATATATACCCTCTCTAGCCATATGGCTGAGGGTATAAAAAGATTTGTCGAGTAATTTCATAAGGGAATATAAAAAAATGAAACTCTAAAACCGAACTTTTAATACCCTCCACCATTTTGAAGGAGCTAGAAAATTTTCAAAACAAAAATCCGTAGAAAACTACCTCCCAAATGAAACCCCTTATACGGGGGCTAAACGAAGAAATAGTCCTTCAGTACGAAATTTGAAACCATTCCAGTGAATAGTGCCGCTAAAATCATCAAAATACCGAATATCGGGAGGTATCACTTTATGGGGGCTACACGAAGATGTGGACCTGCACATAGAATTTTCTACCTTAGGCTGTAGTATCCATTACGAACTTTAAATACGAAATTTGAAACAATTCCTGTGAAGAATGTCGCTAAAATCAGCAAAATACCGAATATCGGGAGGCACAATTATATGGGGGCTATACAAAGAGGTGGACCTGCACAGACAATTTTCTGTCACAGGCGGCAGTATTCAATACGCATTTCAAATACAGAATTTGAAACAATTCCTGTGAAGAATGTCGATAAATAAGCCTGGGACACCAGATGCGATCTCATATGAAAGGTTCTGCT